CCCCCCGCCGGGCCTCCCGTCCCCCGCGCGCCTGCCGCCGCCGGTCATGTCAGGATGGAGATCCGGCAGCACGAGTGGCTCTCGGCCTCCCCCCACGAGGGCTTCGAGCAGATGAAGCTCAAAAGCCGCCCCAAGGAACCGTCGCCGAGCCTGACCCGAGTGGGCGCGAACTTCTACAGCAGCGTCAAGCAGCAGGACTACAGCGCCAGCGTCTGGCTCCGGAGGAAAGACAAGCTGGAGCACGTAAGGGCGGCTCGCCCGGGCCTCGACCGGCACCTGCCACCGTCCCCCTTCCTGCGGTGGTGGCCGGTGCGCGCGGGGCGGGGGGGTACAGGGTCCATGGAAATCTCCAAAGAGGAGATGGTCGGCGGAGGGGGCGTGCGCGTCCTTCGCTGCCCCAGGCTTCGCCTTCTGCACTTTGTTGCCCTCCTGAGCTGGCAGCGGGAAGGAGTGGGGAGGCAACACTGCCCCTCACCCCCAGACTCCCCGGCGGCTCCTCGCTGTAGGGTTCATTTGCACTGTGTTCTTGGGGGGATCTGCGGGACGAGCTCAAAGTAGAACTGACACAAACGCGGCTCCCAGGAACGCTGCGAAGCACTGTAACGGGTCGTAGAGGGGCGTTTACTCGGGTCTTTGGCGCTGTTTCACTCTGTCCAGAAACTACCATTTAATGAAACCATGAAGTTGTGTTACTGGCGACGCAGCTTGGGTTTGCGCACAAGCCATTAGAGTTTTCTGCGGAGTGTCCGCTGGGATGAGCAGTTGGTGATCTGATCGTTACTTGCGCCCAGCCGGGAAGAGATTTGTGGGTTGCAAGGAGAAAGGGGAAGAAGGGGATCGCCCTGCGCCCCAGAAACTGGCCACGGTGGGTGGGAACCTTCGAGTGAGGAGCGCCACTGGCTTCACGCAAAGTGTTAGGAGCTCTGGGGTCAAGCCCCTAAGGCTGGCCATTCTGAAAGAAAAAAAAAAGCCTTCTCATAAGGCGTTTTATGGATCCACAGTTGCAAATCTGATCCGTCAGCATCTCCTGAAACCAATTGTTAAAATGAAACTAAGGGAATTATCTCAAGAATACAGCACCACTGCAGGCTCCGAATTGAGTCGGTTAATGGGATGTGGAGGTTTCCTTGTATTTGGGTCCCCGCGCTGATCGTGATAGAAAGATGAAACCCCAAACTCCTGGAACTCATAAGTCTCCGACTGCGGCGCCAACCTGAACACTGCCTGCTTTTCGTGGGCATCGCCACACCACTGGCTCCCGGGAGGAGGCGTGCAAAGGGGTTTCTCCTGTTAGAGCCTGAGAGTCTGCTCATCCAGGTTCTGATTAAGTCATTGAAATTACTAATTCCAAAGTCCGAATTTAAAGCTTTGAGTTGAGTAACAGGCTCTGTCTTGTATTTAGAGAGCCTATTGCTGATGCCAAGAGCATGCTCAGATTCTTCAGGCTGTGTAAGAAAGTAGCTGAAGGAGATTCCCAGGACAGCAAGTTGTTTGAAAGGCAGCAGCAACACTGATTTGAAGTGCATGCTTCAGAATTAGCCAAGGGACCCGTTATGGGTTTGGGGCTGGGAAGGGAGCATCCTCATGTAATTTGGTTCTTTATGCTGTTGATTTCAATGCCAGGGAAAAGTGGTCCAGCCTTAGTATGGTGGTAGAACATGTTTTCATTTCAGCTGCACCTCAAGTGTGTGTTCATTTGCAGCTTGTGCTTTCAGCTGATCTATTTCCTTTATTCGCTTAGTGAAAATCAATAGTGCAACCTTCCATGACTGTGGCTTCTTGAGGCACAGATGCTGCATGCGTCTTCATTGCTTCGCGTTTAGCTTTTCATTCAAAGTAAGCAGGTCTACCATGGCAGCCTGGTCTTTCTGCCTGGGGAAAGGATGCTGGGCTCTCTGGGGGTTCGAGACCCCCGTAATCTGGTTGTTTGAAAACACGTGTGCATCTCTGCTTTCTTCTTCACTGGCATGCATTCATTTAAAAAAATGAATCGGCTCATTTGGTATTCACATCGGCATACCAGTTGTTTAGCTTTCTTAACTACAGTTTATGAGAGATGTGTATTCTGATGTTTTCCTCTGTACTCACTTTTAATTAGACATTGGGCTTTGCTTCAAATGAATTTTGTTATATTCTCCTGCCCCTTTGAAATACCCATATTTTTAATGAATTAACATTTGTAAAAGCTGTAAAAATGAAAGTCAGATGAAGACATACATTTCATTTGAATTCGGGTTCTTAGTATTTGTATGTCATGTTTTCTATGCCACGATGATGTTTATTTCTAACTCAGTAAATCTCAATACTTGAGATTTAAAAACCTGTAATAAATGTAACCTAGGTACGTGGTTGCTACACAAAGCATGAAAATGTGTTGACTTCATTATAGACAATATTCTGAACCTTTGTGGTGCCTTCTGGTTTGATGCTGCAGGGATTAGGATGAGCGTGTTGTAGGAATTCAAAGGTGACTGATGGTGGTTTTAAAAACTCCTTTCTGATCTGTCTAATCAAGTGGATGACCACCATTTTTATTATGTTGAGAAAATGAATTAATTATGATGAAGATCATATGCCTGAAAACAGCCTACTCAGTTATTTTGCTGATGCTTTAAAAGCCAATCTCAGTATTAAAGGAATAAATAAATTATGGCTTCAAATGACACACGTATTTGGTCATCACAATAACGGGATTCCCTGAGATGAAATGTGGCAGTGTGTGGATTCCATCCAGACTTCAGAGTCCTGGCTTAATGTGAAAGTCAATAACAAGATGTAAAGTGACAGCTAAAGAATATGTTTCCACCCACTTTGCTAAAAGTGAGAATAATTTATCACTGCTTTGTTTTTTTCTGGTTTAAAGGCTACTGCATGAATCGCCAGGTTGGATAAGAGGAAAGGGACTGGTTGAGGATTGGAATACTTCCAGTAGATCTCTAGGTACTATTTCTGAAGTTGGTTGGTTGACGCTGAAGATGAACAGCTATTAAGAAGTGAATGTATGTAAGAAATTCTTCCATTCCTAAATTATGCTCAGAAGGTACAAGGGAATTGTGTTCTGTTCCTTGAATTTTAGACCCTGAACTTACTTGCACATTTTAGGAAGAAGTAAAATTGCTGGCTACATGCAGAATGTTGTCTTATTAGCTACAAATAATGCTCTTGGCTCTTGGAGCCTTTTGCTTCCTGCTCTGCGTCATAATGCCTGTGGCTTTCGGAGGCCTTGAGCTTGGGAAGGACTGAAAGTCTTATTATTTGCGGAATCCCATGTTTCTCTTAGGTATAATGTCAAAATGAAGACATTATGTTGTAGCAAAAAAAAAAAAGCAGAAGGGGCAAGATACTACTCCTAAGCCCCGATTGCTTGATCCTGAATGGGTCACTCTGAGGATAACTGGGTTTGACCATCTCAGAGAAGAGCATGACATTAAGCTGGTGGCCATTTGCACTGTATGTCCTTTTTGAACGTTTTGTTTTTATGATATTTGTGTGTGTGTTTTAGAAAGCACTAGAGATACAGAAGCCAAGCTGCTTGGTTCTCTGATTTTATGCCACCTGTGGGTGTAAAGGTTTCCTGCTGCAGTTTATGGAGATCAGGAAGCCTTGTTTTCTTTCCTGTATATTCAGTTGGCTTTTGCTAACCGGTGGCTTGAAAGTGGGGGTTCTGGTTAGACAGAGTTTCGTTTCGACTTTGATTCTATTTCATATTAACTTTGTGACCTTAGGCAAGGACTCACAGTCACCAAAATGCACATTCCCAGTTCTCTTTAGAGAAATAGGAGGTTTGCTGCAATGTTTCAATGGGACAATCCACGTCTATACTACAGGAGCAAACTGTCCCCAAATGTCAGGGGCCCAACACAGCATAAGTGTGTTTCCCTCTCGCTTCTCCTCTGTGCAGGTTGGTGGGGTGGCCTCCTTTTCTTAATTAGCGGGCCAGAGGGAAGCTCCATCTAGGTGCCTACTTTCATGGTTACCAGGGCCGCTTTAGGGAAATTGGTGGATTGAGCGATGGCTCTCAGTGCTTCCACCCAGGGGTGATCGATCCATCCATAAGGCTGGCGCTGATTGACCAAAGAAAGTTTTAAGCGAAGGCTCACTCCCAAGGGGATGGGAAAGGCGCTCCAGCTGAGACGCACAAGGAGCAGAAACAGCACCCCTTGCCAGGCCTCACTAGGACTGCAGCGGAACATTTGCACGCAGTGCTGTGTTGGACTCACGTAACTGTTCAGCAGCGGTGCCTGGAGGTGTAGTTCTGTCTCAGTTTTGCCTGTCTCTCTGCCTGAGCCCTCTCACTCCACCCAGAAAGATCCCGGGCTTCACATTTGAGATCAGTATTATATACATTTGAGATCTGACTTATAGTCCCAGACCTATGGATCCTTTGACCAGGAAGGCCCTCTCACTTGCTGTGCGGGGCCTGCTGAGCTGGCTCTTTGTATGGTTTCCACCCTCTGGTGACCTGACTCTTCCTGGACAGTGGCCTTTTGCTCACTCCGTGTCTGGTCATTTTGAGGCTGAATCTTCTGGTCCTCGTGCTCTCTGCTGGCCTGTGCAAGGAAAGCCTAGCTCTTTGCCTTGTCCTCAACCTCTGCCCTCGCTTCCAGCTTGCACTGGTGGAATTAGATTGAGCGTATGTCATTAATCTGGAAGATAGCTGAGATGGCCTATTTAAAATGGGGAGAGAACGCCAAAGGGAGACTTGGTAAAGGGTAAACACTAGAATCCTTAATGTGAACCTTAGTGATGTCTTGGTTTAATAAGTGTGTCACACTTAGAATATAGTTTCCTCTAAGTGTGAATTTGCACCTGCTTTACTTGATTTTATATTACCAGTGTATTGTAAATAAATGCCAAATACACACTCACCTCCTGGAATAAATTATTCCCATGATGTTCAAAGAATAAAGAGCTGCAGTTGTCCCCGCTCATGTTATATAATGTCATTGCTGTCCCACGGAGCAGACCAGTGAGGCATGGAGAGACAGAGTTCAACCTAAGGGAACGAGTTTTTAAAGTGTTCCATTAGAAAGCAAATAAACAGTCTGGCAAACACTTAAGAAGAGTAACAGTGACCATGATTATTTCGTGCGATTTTTAGATAAACAAAACAGATAGTTCTATACAGGGCAGTATTGTTAGCTTCTCTAACTCATCAGTGGAGAATATCTTCTAATGGATCCCGGTGTTGTGTCCTTTGATTGCACCTGTCCCTGTGACAATTAACAAGCATTTGCCCACTC